ACTATCAGTACCCATTCAAGCTGAAGCATTTTGTTGCAAGCATTGCGTTGAGGAACCAATTCACTATCAATGAGTTACTAACACACCACAACACATCAACACATGACCAGGGGTGGACTGACCATTTGGAAACTCGGGCACTGCCCGAGGGCCCGGGGTCAGTAGGGGGCCCCATGAGATGCCCCTGGTACCTTTTTCATAGGCTTTTTTGAGTTTGGGCAAGGACACAGGGGCCCCATGATCCCTTATTGCCCGGAGGCCCCATGAGTTGCACATGACCTTTTCTTTTTAACAATGAGGCACACCACAACACATGGTATATGTGTAGTGGGGCACTGTGATGTTTTGTGCTCTACTGTTCAAAGCTTTGAGGTGCCATTCATCATGAAAGGCCATTCATAATGAATGGCACTGCAACAAACCACACAAAGAGTAGGGGACTGGCGTGTGTGCTTATCTTAGATTCAGGATATTTAGGTTGATTTTTCTTTAATATTTTTATTTTTAATAGAATGACATAAATGACCTCCAAATATTGTTATGAATTCAGACCAGTTGTATATTGTATACTTAGGAACATTTTGGTGTGTCCAGCAATGCAGCGGTGTGAAAATAACAAAAGGGTATTTTATGTAAACCCATAATAATATCTTTGGCTACATAGACTGAGTTGAATTGTCAAACAATCCATTGCCAGAGGGTAGAAGAGACAGAAGACAATGCTGTATTTTTCATTCTGAATTCCATAGTCTTGTGTCAGACCCATCCCATGTCACATATAGGGACTTAGTGTCAGTTCAGGATTCATAACTCACCCAACTGGTTTGTCTGTTCAGTTTGAGTTGTTATGCCATCTAATATCACACAGTGAAGTTGGGTTAATGCACTTGGCATATTTCCCAGTTAATAAAAAAAAAAATTAAAAATGAAAGAAGAAAAAGACCCTGTATACACCCTAGGAACACTACATGATGCACTGCAACACAACTGCAAGAATTATGAGGTCGCAGTCAATGCAACAAGGTCATATTTAGCCATCATGTTGTCCCAGACATGGTGACTGCACTTTGTACGAGATCCAATCATCTGGTCCCCATATTATTTAAAGTGTATGTAAACCCTAACAATGAACTTCTCTTTTTTGCTTCCTCTTGCTCTGTTAAATAAACTGTAGTGTTGGCTGAGCTCCTTTAATACCACCCAGCCGCACAAATCAGTCCTTCACTACAATGACAGTTGTGTTTTTTTCTCTTCTCTCCTGATGAGTTACAGACCGGGGAGAAAGAACAGGGTTCTGAGGGCCCTTCATGGCTACCACTGCAACTTATGAGGATCCATCTCTAGAAGCAATGCAAAGGAGACCCCTGATTGGCAGAACTCTGAGAGAGCTCTGGGATCCAAATTGGTGCACCATCAGTCTGCCGGGACCCAAAAGGATTGTGGATGCCCAGGTAAAGTGTGTTTACCCAGGACTATGTACTGCAACACAGGGCTCAGGGCTAAGGATGCATCCCAAAAGTTCTAAACCTGACTTAGAAAGTGTCTGATGTCAATGAAGTAATATTATTTTTCTACATACCCTCCTCCAATGTCCACATGTAGGCAGGCTGCCTGCACTAGTTAGCTAGGTGCTGCCCTGACTAAGAGGGATGAGGGCAATACTGTGCTGCTGTTTCCTGGGCTTTCGCAGGCTTTTTTGATGGTTTTTCTGGGCCCAACCCACTGGTCCTGTGTGTCTATAAGAGGGAACAGGGCTCTGCGTCCAGGTCCAGGAACATGGGAGAGAGAGCAGAAGTAGCTGAAGGGGAGGAAGAAGAGAGAGCGAGAGAGTCCTGTGTCTGGTTCCAGTTGCTCCCCGAATCCGCAGATCTTACACAATATAAGGGAATTGCTGGGACTTGCAGTCCTCCCTGAAACCACCAGTATGCTGGAGCATCTCCTATAAACACAACCCATGGGTGGACATTTGCCTGTGCAGGTATGCTGGGGCAGCCGTTGTAGTTAGGGATTCGTTTAGGGAAAGACTGTTGCCTTTGTTTGACTGTCATGTGTAAGTTATCCAAGTAAAGCTTTGAAACGTTGCTTTTGCCTGGTCTACAGTTATTCTAAAGGGGTGTATGTAAGTGGCCAGCACACACATCTGGGCCAAAAAGCACAAAGGGGAATGAAGATAGCAGTACAAGAGTTAATGGGGTACAGAAAGCAGCAAGTGGGTACTAAGGGTAATGAAGGTTTAACAAGCAGCCTGCCATGAAGTGTGTACCTGTGAGAGGTGGGATAGCCTCTTGTAATGAGGGAGTTGTTGTCAGCATTATTTCCCCTGGAGGTCCATCTTCCATAGCAATGAAAGCAGTTCAGCACTCAGAGGTCCCCAGCCTGGGCATAGGTACAGAAGAGAAAGAGTTAATGTAGTGCATGCATGGAGTCCATGCTAGGTGCACAACAGGATTCCATACTGTTTGCTGGTAATGAGGTAGAGAAGATAGGACAGGAGGAGCAGGTTCACATGGGATGTCATTAACTCCCCTGGAGGTCCATCTTCCATAGCAATGAAAGTAGATCAGCACTCAGAGGTCCCAAGCCTGGGCATAGGTACAGAAGAGAAAGAGTTAGTGTAGTGCATGCATGGAGTCCATGTTAGGTGCACAACAGGATTCCATAATGTTTGCTGGTAATGAGGTAGAGAAGATAGGACAGGAGGACCAGGTTCACATGGGATGTCATTATCTCTCCTGGAGGTCCATCTTCCTTAGCAATGAAAGCAGATCAGCACTCAGAGGTCCCCAGCCTGGGCATAGGTACAGAAGAGAAAGAGTTATTGTAGTGCATGCATGGAGTCCATGTTAGGTGCACAACAGGATTCCATAATGTTTGCTGGTAATGAGGTAGAGAAGATAGGACAGGAGGACCAGGTTCACATGGGATGTCATTATCTCTCCTGGAGGTCCATCTTCCTTAGCAATGAAAGCAGATCAGCACTCAGAGGTCCCCAGCCTGGGCATAGGTACAGAAGAGAAAGAGTTAATGTAGTGCATGCATGGAGTCCATGTTAGGTGCACAACAGGAATCCATACTGAGATAGAGAAGATAGGACAGGAGGAGCAGGCATCGGCTCTGCATGTCCTTCCTAAATGCAACAAATGATAGTAATGGTGTACATTCACATGGAGCTCAAGGGAGTTACCTAAAGTTCAGTCATCTGTTTAAGTGTACAAAGTGTATGGTCATCTTTCAGTTAGAGGTGGGCCTTAAGGTTGAGTTATCCCTGAAAGCGACCTCCACCCAGTCCTGGGGCATCGGTGAGATCGGCACAATAAAAGTACCCCATGTGCAAGGCAGTGACCCATCTTAGGTGCCCATCATAGCCCAGAAGAACCCATGGCAGAGTAGGCCTCTCACGTGATCCCGTTGTCAGAATACAATGAACAAAAGTTGCAGCAAAGTGGTTGCAACTGCTGTCCGGCAACATTTTTCCAATTTGTCCATTCAAAGGAAGTCAATCTATCAATTAACTTCTGTTGATCAAGGATGACCACACACTGGTAGGGCAAGGACTGACTGAATTTCCATCTGTCTATGACCAGCTTAACTATCCTAGAAACAGACTTCATAAAAAATAAAAAAAACAAAAAAAAACAACAATAAAAAGTCAGACACGATAGACAGTGAGGTTCACATGGGATGTCAATCAAACACTCAACCGTATCTGTCAATCGTTTATTCCTCTGCTCTCTACACTATTCATCTCAGATAAGATTTTCTAAACACCACATTTCTTATAAAAGTCACATAACTCACTAAAACACAGACATACTGTACAGAGCAAACAAAACCCCAAAAAATCAATCTGATGTTAAAGGGCGGTAAGAGAATCTTCCTCTCTCTCAGCGGTCTGACAGAGAGAAAAGGCCTATTTATGATAACAGCTTAATCCTCTCTATGGTAACGCATACCACATGCACAGTGGTTTGCAGAGGTCGCAGGGAGGATCCGGGGGGAAAAGTATTTTGATTTGGGGCCAGATTCCTGCCCTGTTGATTTTCACAACAATGTGATGTATAAAGTTACATACATTACTGTGCCATGGGTGTTTTTTTCTAGATATAGAGATTCATGGGTAATAGAAAATCCACTCATTATAATGGAGTAGAACTTTTTGCCCAGCATTTTGGTTAAATGGTAAAACTTGATCCAAAGCAACATTTACCAGTTCATTAATGCACAGTAGTGCAGACTCACACTTGAGCGTTTTATAGCTTGAAGCTCGAAGCTCCAAAAAAGTTCAAAAAGCTTCAAACTTAAAAAAATCAATTGTTCTCTATGGTGCCAGTTCACACCTGATCGTGCAAACAGGCACCATAGAGAACAATTGATTTTTTAAGTTTGATCATTTGTGGAGCTTCGAGCTTTAAGCTACAAAATGCTCAAGTGTGAACGCAGCCTTAGAGAGGAAACTCATGCTTACATAGAATATGGGCTACTTACCTCTGGGTGATCTATGGTCAACTGGCAGGATCCAACTGAGTTCCCACTTTTAACATGGCAGAGGATTATGAGGAAATTTTTGCTTTTAATCACTTGCCTAGTGGGCACTTTTGCCCCCTTCGTGCCCAGGCACTTTGAATGACAATTACACAGTCATGCAACACAGTACCCATATTACATTTTTATTATTATTTTCACACGAATAGAGCTTTCTTTTGGTGGTATGTACTCGCCGCTGGGTGTTTTATTTTTTGCACTATAAACAAAAAAAGAGCAAAAAATTTGAAAAAAAGGTTTTCTTTGTTTCTATTATAAAATTTTGAAAACAGATAATTTTTCTCCTTCACTGATGTGCGCTGAGAGGCAGCACTGATGGGCACTGAGAGGCAGCACTGATGGGCACTGAGAGGCAGCACTGATGAGGTGGCACAGATAGGCAGCACTGAGAGGCTGCACTGATGAGGTGGCAATAATGAGGAGGCACTGATGATGCTGCACTGACATGTAGCATTGATGGGCACTGATAGGCGGCACTGATGGGCACTGATAGGTGGCACTGATGGGCACTGAGGGGCAGCACTGATGGGAGACACTGATGGGCGGTGCTGACTGGCGGCACTGACTGACAGTACTTACTGGAGGTACTGCTGGGCACTGATGGCCAGAACTGCTAGGCACTGATGAGTGGCATTGCTGGGTGGCAATGCTGGGCAGCACTAATGAGTGGCACTGATGGGGGGCACTGCTGAGCACTAATGGGGGACACTGTTGGGCACTGATGGGTGACACTGCTGGGCACTGTTGGGCGGCACTGCTGGGCACTGATCATCAGGGCCCTAATGATCAGTGCTGATCTGTTCTATGACAATTGCCGGTTAGCAGCAGTACTCTCCTTTCGCTGTGAGAGCGTGAGGAAAGTGCTGCCGATAACTGCCAACTGTATTTACTCCATGATCTGCTGTGTCATTGGACACAGCTGATCACGTGGTAAAAGGCCGCTGTGATTGGCCTTTTACCTCATCATGTGATCAGCTGTATCTATAGGACACAGTGATCACGGAGATCACCGGGTGTGCACCGCTGGGGACACATGGGAGGGCACATTCTGGGAGGACGTCATATGACACCCTCCCAGAACTGGACAGCTGTGCTGTAGCTGTCACTCGGCTATAGTGCGGTTGGCAAGAGGTTAAAGTTCGTGGAGATGCGTAAAAATTAAAAACCCAATAAGTGTACAAAAAAAACGTGCAAGTGTACAACCCACACAAAAAAGTGCACTTAGGGGTGTGCTTTGTCCACCCCCAACAGGGGTAGGACCTCTACACTGATCCCTCAGGGCACAAGGCTCCTGAGAAGGACAAGGTTTCCAACATGGTCCGTCTAGCCAAAAGACCTGGAGGACCCCTTTCCTCATGGCCAGATGACGCCGATTACAGAGTACTGGGTTAAGGGCCTCTCCCAAAGAGAGACCCCCCCCCAGGATCAAGGGCAGAAGGATCCTAAGGGCCACACATCCTACCCCTAGACTTCAGGGTAGGCCCGCCGTCCCACACCCTTCATCCTAGTGAGAAAAATAACACATATAAGTGAAAGTGACAAAACAGTGGAGAAACATAAATAAATAAATACGTGGCCTTGTAATAGTGCGCTGACCAGGCCCTGGGCCTGGTATCAAAAATTGCCCTGGACTTAGCCAAAAGGCCTAGCCATAAAATGCGCAACGCAGATAAAGTGTTTGGAACTGTGACCATGTGCCATTTTCACACGTTGGGGTCCCACACCCAAGTGTTACACTAGGAGCACCTCTGGGGCGACCATTTATTAGGGGACCATTTAACCCCTAATAAAAACAACAAAACCAAGCTCAAGGACTGTTTCACTGACTTTGGATGAGAGTGCTGGAAAATGCATGTTGCCTGGCTGTGCAGAGCTTAGGGAGACCAAAAAACTCAACGGCCCTCAAGAGGGTAGCGCTCAGGGGCGGACTGACAACTCATGGAACCCCTGGGCAATAGGGGATCATGGGACCCCTGTGTCCTTGCCCACACTCAAAGCACACCCAAAAAAGCCTATAAAAGGTACCAGGGGCATTTCATGGGGCCCCCTACTGACCCTGGGCCCTCAAGCTCGAATGGTCAGTCCACCCCTGGTAGCGCTACATAGATATCTTTCAATTTACAACTTACTGACCATGCAAATGTTCCATGAACCAGAGATGCAATAATTTAGCAAGGGTTCCCCGAGACATGACAATTATTTCAAAGGTTCCTCTGTATTAAAAAGATTGGGAAAGGCTGGTCTAATCTAATCAGCACAGTTTACACAGAATAAGCTGCATGTTGTATGTCTTAATTTAGCCGTCTTCGAATCCCTGGGGGAGCCTTTAACAGAAACAACATTTTAGGCTTGTTATTTCTGAACTTCTAGGGGAACCATAAAAGGGAAAAGCTGCTTTATTATCGGAAGATGGAGCTGGACCAGGCTTCTCCCAGAAGCATCCATGTATGTACTGTAGACTCATCAGGGCTGACTAATAAAGCTCGGGACTGATCACATGTCTGGTTACACTAGGGAGATGATTGGTTGCTGTTGGCAATAGATCCCTTTTTTTTTGTGTATTTGTTCTATTTTTTTTAGAAATCTGTCCTTTACTTGAATAAATTGTTCTTCATCTCCTATTGATTTCATTAATAACAATACTATTGTACTATTAGAAATATTGTTAAAACTAATGAAGCCACTACTAAAACTAGTCCTACCATTACTACTGCTTGTGCAGTAGCAATGGTAGCTACCAGGGGCGGACTGACAACTCATGGGGCCCCCGGACAACAGGGGATCATGGGGCCCCTGTGTCCTTGCCCAAACTCAAAAAATACTATGAAAAAGGTACCAGGGGCATCTCATGGGGCCCCCTACTGACCCAGGGCCCTCGGGAAGTGCCCGAGTTTCCAAATGGTCAGTTCGCATGTGCTACATAAAGTTTAATCCAGAAGTAGAACCTTTGTTTTTTGTCATAAATATTTGATTGTTTTATATATGGTATAGACCAGAGGTCTCCAAACTGCGGCCCAGGAGCACTTCGCTTGCCTTTGTCTGGCCTTTGGGGCACTATTCCTCTCATTAACACCAACAATGGGGCACTATTCCTCTCACTGATTCCAAGGATGAGACACTATTTCTTCCACTGACACCAACAACGGGGCACTGTTCTTCCCACTGGCACAAAAAATGGGGCACTATTTTCCCACTGACACCAATAGTAGGGTGCTATTTCTCCCACTGACACCAATTATGGGGCACTATTCTTCTCATTAATACCAATGATGGGGCACTATTCCTCCCACTGATACCAATGATGGGGCACTATTCCTCCCACTGATACCAATGATGGGACACTATACCAATGACTCCCACTAATACCAATGATGGGACACTATTCCTTCCACTGATACCAATGATGGGGCACTATTCCTCCCACTGACACCAATGATGGGGCACTATTCCTCCCACTGATACCAATGATGGGGCACTATTACTCCCACTGATACCAATGATGGGGCACTATTCCTCCCACTGATACCAATGATGGGGCACTATTCCTCTCACTGATACCAATGATGGGGCACTATTCCTCCCACTGATACCAATGATGGGGCACTATTCCTCCCACTGATACCAATGATGGGGCACTATTCCTCTCACTGATACCAATGATGGGGCACTATTCCTCCCACTGACACCAATGATGGGGCACTATTCCTTCCACTGACATCAATAATAGGGTGCTATTTCTCCCACTGACACCAATGATGGAGCAATATCCCTCCCACTGACACCAATGATGGGTGCTATTCCTCCCACTGAAATCAACGATTGGGCAATATCCCTGCCAGTGACACCAATGATGGGGCACTATTCTTCTTACTAATACCAATGATGGGGCACTATTCCTTCCACTGACTAAAACATACAGGCACTATTCCCCTCACTGGTACCAGTGAGCACTATTCTTCCCACTGACACCAACAGTGAGGCACTATTCCTCTCACTGATACCAATGAGGGGACCCTATTCCTTCTCCTCATACTTAAGATGGAGCACTATTCATCCCCCTCATACTAAATATGGGGGACTACTCTTCCCACTGACACTAAAGCTGGGGCGCTATTCCTTCCACTGATACAAAGGATGAGGCACTATTCCTTCCACTGGCACTCTCCCCCCCTCCAAAGCTAAAGATGAGGCATTGTTTACTCCCACTGACCACAGTCTGGCCCCTCTAAAGTCTGAAGGACTATAGACTGGCCCTTTGTTTAGAAATTATGGAGACCCCTGGTGTAGGTGATATATTGTATGGTAGGGTCACATGCATGAACATTACATCACTTCTGTACAACCTGAAATCTAACAATAAAATCTGAACCAGGGATATGGCAATCAAGAAACATTTTTAAGAGCTTTGTAACAAAATTTGTCAAGTCACTGATGTAATATATTATATTCTGGCAAAATATTTTCCAATAAAATTCTTCCCACATAAGGCTAGCAATAGGATCATCAAATAGACAGTTATGGCTGGATTTTAGGACATTCATACATCTGTATGCACTTCTAGGTAGGCCTAGAGCAGTTGAAAAACAAAGGGTCTACATGGCAGGATGAAAGAGGAGCTATGCACAAAGGAGCTCAAGAGCTGTTTGGGTGGAGTGTAGAGAATTAGGGGAGAACAGAGAATCAGCTTCAGGTGGAAAATGGTGGATGTTTGATGAGCCCCCCAACCCATCTGGTTAACATAAAATTGTCTTAAAAAGAAAATGTATGCATTTGACATGCCATGCCATGATGCCATTCAGTGACAGGTTGCAGGGTTATTTAAAGGTTGTCATGCTGATTGAGATAAAGTATATGAGGATCTGCCAAAGATATGGCATCCCTCTTCTATGTGGTATAGTGTTATTGGCATTGAGCTAATGGTTGGTGTCTATGTTGGTGTAAATGTCCCCAAAGCAATATAGTGCAGCTGGTAACCTAACTAAAGTTTAGTGTATACTGAGTTTTTGGTGAACTGCCTCTTCTTCTCTACCATTGACCCAACTTTTAATGATTGTTAAAGTGGAGTTCCAGCTGAAAAAAAATAAAATAAAAGTCAGCAGCTATAAAAACTGTAGCTGCTGACTTTTGAAATACAGACACTTACCTGTCCCTCGGTCCAGCGGTGTCCTCACCACCGCTGGTTTCAGCAGCCGTCTTCTCTCCCTGGTGTTGGCATCTTCAGTGTAGGCTTTTGAAATACAGACACTTACCTGTCCGTCAGTCCAGCGGTGTCCTCACAACCGCTGGTTTCACTGGCCATCTTCTCTCCCTGGTGTTGGCATCTTCAGTATAGGCGCCTGGCTGTGACAGCTTGTGGCATCACTGCTGGGTGCCCACTGCGCATGCGTGAGAAGCACTAGGCTTTGTGAATGGCCTCGTAGTCTTCTGGGTTCTGTCACGTGTCCCAGAAGATTGTGGGAAGGGAGGGAGGAAGGACAACTTCTGCTTCTGATAGCATAGGCGATCGTAGTGGAAATGGGAGC